TACACACGCACACGCACGCACGCACGCACGCACGCACAAACGTACACACGCACACGCACGCACGCACGCACGCACGCACGCACGCACACACACACACACACACACACACACACACATATATATATGTGTAGAACCTCTAGTAATGGCATGAACCTCTGCCACCTACATCTATACATAGGTTCGAGGCAATAACCAATATCACGTGGCAACCGCTTACAAATACGTGGCTGCTTGCACGCGGCGACACCGTTAGATTGAAAGACGTAGCCTAGCAACGTGCACTCAACCTGTTGGTTCAGAGCTTTACGTTTGCATCATTTACACTTTATACTTTACACGCTTGCCTTCCAGCGGTTCATTTAAAATTCTCAGTTTTCTGTTTGTATACTCATTAAGCTAAATGGTTGCAATTATCGCGGTGTCGCGTCGGATACCTGCACTGGCTATGTGGTTTTCTCACGACCATAATCAATATAAATTATGCCATGATAATGCGCGTAGTTAATAACCTCTGCGTAATATAAATGCTCATTCTACATTCATTATTAAAATACTTTATTTTACAACTTTGAACATTTATTCTAACATGGGCCCGCTTAGTATTCCCCGAACTTACACATGCATCTTCAGTTAAAACAATAAGAACATCATATACCAGAAGTGTATAATATTGATATCTCTATATTATACACACCCGATTACATATTGCTCAAATTTCTCATAGTATTAAGCCATGATAATATCCACTGCAGCAACTCACAACGTCACACAATATCAAACAATCTTCATATCAACTAGCACTAACCCCACACTCATTAAACAAGCAAAACAGACCTGATCGGTCACAGAACAAAGTTGGCACTACTGAACATTTTGTAAACTGTATGAGCAATTAAAAAAAATCTCACGTATTTTACATGATGTATAAAAGCTTCACACACGTGATAACCATCAGTCACACATCCGCTAAACTGCCCGACTGCAAACACCAACTTTGCTTTATTATTATATTTTATGTTTTATATTATTACATTGTTTCTTACTGAGCAATTTGATTATCATCACTGCACACTCTCTTTACCAAATTCATTCATGTACTTGGATAGTGAGCTCTGACTAAGAATTGCCGTGACAACAAGGTATTCAGGATCGCTGTGCGTTTCCACGAGGTCAACCGACGCTTCCTTGTACAGCCACCTGCAACAAACAACAACCCACAGCTACATATCTAACAAGTGCCGCAGAGCGACAGTGCTCAACTGACGTGTACTGTAGCCAGGTATTCTTCTGATAAACTCACTGGCAACCGAATCAAGTGCGCCCTCCTGCCACCGCGTTTGCTCTCAGAGCATATATCTAGGATACTATTAATACAGATCTAAAATCTATGATAGGCTTTGCTATACCTACTGGTAGTACAGTAATAAAGATACAGCTGTGTAACTTTAATGACTTCGCTATATTAACATGTTATCATGGATATGCATCGAACGCGAGCGTAGTGGTGGTGGAGGGGGAGGGTGGGGGGGGGGGGGGGGGGGGGG